AGTACAAAATTTGGCAATTATGGAAATGATTTATATCCTATTTTTGTTTTTGTGCAATATTTTGGATAGCTATTTATTGTTAGGACATCAAAAGCTTTAGGTTTAGAAGAGAAATCCTTAACCAGTTGTCCCCATTAGAGAGATTCTTAATGACTATCAGCTCAATTCGATGTCATTTGTGAAAATCCACCCAAGCCAGGCCAGTGAGATTCAGTGCTCAGTTCTCTGCCCTCGAATCATCCTTCGACACACCTACTGCGTGAGCCGGGGAGCACGTTCTTGCACCCCCGTTTTTCATCCTCAACAGTGAAACATTCCCAGACATATTGTTTACCGACAAGCAACTTTCTTGATCGAAATGGTTACTTATTTATTTTTTTGGAAAAAGGTGTGGTATTATAACAAAATGAATGAAACCCTAAGAACATGAGAAGCAAACTCTCACCTTCCTTCACGCTGTCCTCCCCACTTGGGAACAAACGGCCAAATCTTCCAAGAGTCCAACTGCCCCCAGCATGAATTACAGGATCAGATAAAGTTTCCCAGGATTTCTCAGTTGGAATATCTCAGAGGACATCAGAATTCACACCTTCTCAGAGGCAGAGCTTCCACAGCCCAGCAGGGACGAGGTTGGCTAGATTTAAACATGACCTTGCCCAAGTGATGGGCTCCTAGTCTTGTGCGTGTGCCACCTGAGGTCTGAAATTAAATAAAAACTTGAAAAAAAATACTGAAAAACTAATGGCCTAAGAAAACAACCAATATTTCTTGACGACACCACTGGTTTCCCCATGAAATGACCCAAAAATGAAGAATAAGTGAAGAAAGTCTGTACTAATGATGTGTCACTACCCAGATCTGGATAGTGCTTCTGACTGATCGTGCCACAAGGATAATGTGTAAGATCAGGTCATTTTGTGGGGAAACCAGTGATAGCATCTTGAAAAGTCAGCTGTTTACAAAGGCTTAGCTAAAGCAAGCCTAACAAAAAAAAAATAATATTAAGATAACTAATGCAAGCTCATTAGCATATTAAACAAAACTAGATATTTCTTGGTGCTACAAGTGCCCTCGTGATGTAAACATGTATTCAACTAATGCTTTGGTTGTGTGCATAAAAATGGAAATAAAAAGGATGCCAAGGAGTAAATTCCTAAAACTAACATGCCAGGAGTTTTGAAAACCTATGGAAATTGAAAAAAAGGTATCAGAGAGCAAATGCAACATCAAGAAAATTAATATATTTAAATAGAATACGAATGCAATCAATAGTCTGCAGTCTGTGAAACCTTTATAAAAGAAAAAGTTCTCGAAAGTTAATAAAAAAAATTGTTTTGGTTTTGAAATGATCGGCAATTTGGAAAAACAGTTCTTATTACTTCAAGTTGCCTAGAAAAAAAAGAAGCAGACTGGAGATTGCCTTAGACATTATGTACATGTAAGCTTATGAATAATCTACTATGCATTATAATACTTAAGATCCTAATTTTCCTAAGATTTTTCCCAGGCTCACTGTTTGTTAAGAATTTCCAATTACTTTTGAGTTCTTTTTTTAATTAATCTGAAGATGACAAAATCCTTTGTGCACCGACCTAACTTTGAAGTCCCAACAGAGACCAAAATCGATCATCAACTTATTAATAATCAAACAAAAATGAAACTATACCTACTTAATACTTACAAACAATCTCCTTACTAGTACCATACGAGAGGTAAGAAGGAACAGTAAGGAGAATTTCTCAATTGCTATTGGGACTTCAAGGATCAAGGTCACTGTGCTTAATTGCTTTCATATCCCTATCCATACTGTGCTTTGTAGACACAGCCTGCAAATGTAGATGCATTCCAGCTGTAGCTTCCAGAGAGATGCCTTGGCTGACAAAGCTCAAGCTTATCTTTTCCCTTAATGGAAGATCATCATAAGTTTTATGGTCAAGGTGTCTACATTCCTCCCAAATAACTATGTTATAGGTCATAAGTTATCTGTACTGCTAGGATATTGTCCTGAAAATTGTAAGATGTATACCTGTACAGTACTACTATTTCTTGCAGCCTCTATAGCCCCTGACTAAAGTAATATGTTACTTATGAGGTTTAGAGCTAATATTGTGCTAATGAGCTTGCTGAAGACTGTTTAATTCTAGCATTAAATTAACACTAATACTGTCTAAGTGGAGTCCTGGTCCTTTGAACCTCTTGATTATTCAAATTAAAACTTGTTTTCCTTCCCCCGAAGTCACTGTATTTTTTTTATTTCGCCTTGGGCTTTCTCAAACAGAAAATGGCAAGAAAAACGAAGCTTAATATCCCTCCAATTCTTTTGACTCCTAGTATTCTAAAACCAATCTCCATTTTCACAGGAGGTTCAAAAAATCATAGTTCCACTGTGTTAAGATAACACAGGAAGCACAACAACTCCTATAACAAAGACGAGCGCTAATAGAAGGTGGATCTATGAAAATAATTGAGTGTGTGGCGAACTTTAACAAAAGGAATAAAATTGAAGCAAATTTAAAAATACTGACTGTGTGATTAGTGTTTGCTGTGATAAGGTTGTAATGCTTTCCATGCCTCTAAAGATACAGGCAACATTGTGCTTCCCACCGTTCCAAGAAACTGAAAGTCAGTGAATGGCTAAGGTATTTTGACTGTTATTCGCAGACAACTGCACAGTAAACTAGGCCACTCCCACCTGCACTATCAGCACAATGTCATCAACTGTACATGCAACAAAAGCTCTATAAGCCCCAGCCTACCCCCTACCCATCATTGATCACAGCCTCTATTTTTTGAAGACCACATTTGTAACTTGATCCCCCTATTATTACATCCTCCACAACTTACCTTGAAAGCCATTCCTTTTGCAGGAAATGTCAGGAACTGATTTCCATCACACCAAGACAAGAACATTCTGCCAGTTTGTGGAAGATTAGCGATCAAAATGACCACCTTTTCCCTTAATTCTGATTTCCTCTTATTATTGAGATAAAAAATATCCTTTCTTTGCCCCCCAAATCGTTTACCCCCCTCCCCTACCTCTAACTCCTCCAACCCTCCTTAAAAGGCAGACAGGGGCTTAATTGAGCTTTTACGGTTTTAGGTATGTAATCTATAAAATATGTAACCACACCCACCCAACAACTATAACTTTATATAGAATATTATTATAATAAATTATCATGATCACAATTATTTTTAGCAAGATTTCCTTTGAGCAGTGAAGAACGAGCCCCCCGGGGGTACTTTTCGAATTTTTGGGTGGGGATGTGTCACTGGGACCCTGAACCCTTAGCCCGTACCAAAACTTAGTTCAGCTCAATTTTGCTAATCTTTACCAGACCAAACTGGTCCTCAATTATTTTTTGAAGCAATTTCTCTGTATCTAGTTAGCAGATGAAATATTGTGTCTCATCTTTGATAAAATTGCCAAATCCTAAGGAAATGTCATTTATAATCACTAATGAATAAAATTATTCTTGGCTGCAGAGTTTAATTTACCATTGTCTCACAAGAATGAACCCTTTTCCCTTTTCTTCCCAGAGGTGAATCTCCTTTGTAAAATTGAATGACGTATGTACTACTCAAAGGAATCTTGTGTTTGAACTTAATTTGTAAGTAGTACAAATAAGCCTCTAGATTTATTTTCAAATTTTGCCTAAATATGAATGTTTTTGGAACAAAATAATCCGATTTGAAACAAAACTTGCTTAATTTAGGAAAACTTTCAGAATAATAAGCCCCTGTCCAGTTGCTAAATTGAACTGGATGGTGACTCGTTTACTTTAAAAATAAAGAAACTGTTGATAAAATTTTCTCAGTAACACTTATTTGTACAAATATGGTGGCACACACACTGTATAATAATCATTATTCTCGTCATACAAATACCTTAAGTATTCCCTCCAATAGTGAATTTTAGAATTCCTAGTTAAAATTTGACCTCACTATATATTCAGCAATCTACTCTACAGCCGAAATGTGCTGAAGATCCGAAAGTGACTGAATTTTGATTGGATAAATAAAAGTAGGTTGTCTTTGAATTTGGAAAGCTGTAAACTGTGAGTAGAATTCAAAGGAAAAATATTGCAAGTGAATCAATTCACTCCTGTTGGGAATACCATGGACCTGTTTTGACTAATGCATGAAGTCTTATTTGTAGAGTCAATATTCTTCGGTTTTTGTTTTTTGTTTTTGGCGTTTTTTTTTTTTTTTCGCTGCCAAACTAAATGAATTTGCCTAACTGCTGATGAATGGGGGTTGTGGAACAACAGCTGGGTGAAAAACCTCCCCGTACGTCCACTTGCTCCTAGGAGGAAAACCCCGGGCCAGCTGTACCCCGCATTCAATGACCTCCCGGGCAGGGTCAGATATATTCTAAAACCAAGTACCTGTGTTGAGGCAGGTTACTGGCTGTAACTATAAGTAATAAATTATATGATTATATAAATAGTAAACTAAGTATTAATAATGAGTTGACTTTGATGATACCATCCTCCAGTGATCACAGCCTCTTCACTGTCGGCTTTTGAACTCCTGTATGGAGGCATTGATGAGTCGCTGACCACTTTGCCAAATCTGTTGTTCTTTTCAGCCTAAGAAAAAATAAGAATTCATTTTCACTCATTTTGGCTTCTAGGTATTCATAGGATGAGTGGGGTAACTGGGGTGAGTAGAATGGCTGGGATGATTAGGATGGCAAGGGTAAATGGGATGACTGTGATGACTAGGATGATCTGGATGACTTGAATGGCTAGGAGGATTAAGATAACTGAGATGACAGGATAACAGGGGTGACTGGGATGAAAAGGATAGGTAGAATAACTGAGATGACTACGTGACTGGGATGATTAGGATAAGTGGGACTACCAGGATGGCTGGAATGACTTGCATCACCAGGATCAATAGGATGACTAGAATACCTAGGATGACTATGTTGACAGGGGTGACTGGGATGACTGTGATGAAAAGGATATGTCGAAAAACTTTGGTCACTAGTATGACTACAGCGATGAGATAACTGAGATGACTAGGGTGTCTGGTACGACGGGGATGACTAGGATGACTAGGATGACTGGGATAACTAGGGTGACTAAGATGACTAGGGTAACTGGAATGAGTGTGACACTAGGATGACTAGGGTTGCTGAGATAACCAGGATGACTGGGATGATTATGACAGGGAGTCACTGGGAAGACACGGATGACTAGAACGACCAGGATGACTTGGTTGCAGGGTTCGTATCCTGTTTTGATAAAAAAAAAATTCAAGGACTTTTTAAGGACTATTCAAGGACAAATTTCTCATTCTTCAAGGACTCCAATCATAGCCTTGAGCATATGTCTTTTTTAGTTCTTCCACAACATGACTGCAATTTTAATTTTTATCCGAAAGGTCTCTCTGTGTTTGCTCACTTGAGAATCTGGGTTGGATAAAGTAAGCACTGAAATTCAAGGACTACTTTCAAGGACTTTCAAGGTGCATGCGAACTATGAGGTTGACTGGGGTGACTGGGATGACTGGAGTGACTGGGATGGCTGGGATGACTGGGAAGACTGGGAAGACTAGGATTACTGGGGTGACTAGAAGGACTGAGTTGACTGGGATAACTGAGGTGACAGGGATGACAGGAGTGACTTGGATGATAAGAATGACTTAGCTAGGTGACTGAGATGACTGTGATGACTAGGATGATGAGATAACTGAGATGACAAGGGTGTCTGGTATGACTGGGATGAATAGGATAGAAAGGATGACTACTGTGTGGCACAAAATTTTTGCAGGTTCTAATTTTTGCATTTTTTTTGCGATTTTTCCAGCGATCCGCAAAAATAAGTTGACTTGGATGACTGGGATGACTTGCTTGATTAAGATGAATAGGATGACTATTGATTAGATGAGTTGGATGGTTGGGATGACTGGGATGCTTTGGATGACTGGAATGACTTGCATGATTAGGATGACTATTAATGATATGACTTGGATGATTGGGATGACTGGCATGACTAGGACAACTAGCATGACTAGAATGAATAGGCTGACTTGATTTAGTGTGATAACAGGGGTGACAGGGATGATTGTGATGAAAAGGAAAAGTAGAATAACTGGGGTGACTAGGATGAACGGGGTGACTGGGATGACTGGGACGACTGGGATGACTAGGGGCACCAGGATGACAGAGTTGATTAGGATGACTGGGATGACTAGGGTGGCTGGGATGAATGGACTGACTGAGATGACTGGGATAACTATAATAACTACAGAGACTGAGATGACAAGGATGAGTGGGTTGACTGAGATGTCTAGGGTAACAGACTCAACAGTGGTGACTTTGTTGACTAGGATGACTAGCTAGGGTGGGTAGGATAACTACAATGACTAAAATAATAGGGATACCTAGGATGATTGGGATGACTGTTGACTGGGATGCAAAGAGGACTAGGATGAGTAGGATGACTGAGTTGACTGGGATAACTACAATCATGGACAAAAGTCCTTGGGACAGTAATGCAATATTCATATTTTTTGTCTGAGTTCCCTCAAAAAACAGTGCATCCTTTATGAAGTTTTCTTGCAGTTCCCCCCCCCCCACCCTATACAAAGTTGAAACTCTGAAAAAATTTGCACATCCAACTTTGTTTGTGGGGTGAGGGGAGGAATTAGACCAGTGTGAATTGGAAAACACCCCAGAAATGCGAAAGTGTCCCAAGACTTTTGTCCATGATTGTAGGATGACAGGGATGACAGGTAAGACTAGGGCTGCATTCGAGTGGGAAATCCAGATTTAGATTTTGAAATCACCATTTGAGATTTCACGATCTAACGCGAAATCTGACTAGAGTCACTGGGATGACAGGAGTGACTAGGGTAAATTGGATGACTAAAATGAGTGGAATGCCTCAGTTGGCTTGGATAACTAAGATGAATAAGATGACTGGAATAAGCTGGATGAGGGTGAGTGGGATGACCTCATCTTCAATGAAGAAGCCTGAGAAAGATTTGATTCTTTGTAGGATTTGGAAAATTGTGTGTACCTCTGGAAAAATTCTCAGAAAATGTAGTAGTCTTATATCAGCTAAGAAAGGTTAAAAAAGGAAAAAACTGATACCTAAAATGCTTGAAATCACCAATGGGGAACCATGATCCCTCTAGCTTCTTGAGATGTCGTCCCTTTAATTGAAGAAACGTTTTTGATATCCAACTTGTGATGGCCAAAGAATCTTCAGGAACATCACCAAATGGGAGGGTTCTGTTAAAAGGCCAGAGATGCAAGAAATAATACAGATAAATTTGACTGTCAGGTAGAAAGGAAGAATTACTCTCCCTGCCTATAATTGTATGGACATCCATTTTTCTGCAAACTTGTTTCCTACCAGAATAAATGAAGTCTTCCTTCTTTTCAAAATTCATCAAACATTTTAACAAAAAGATTTGCTTGCAATATTAACTTTCTATACTTAAGCAATTTTTAAATTTTGTGATCTGACAACAGCTTTATGTTGGCTTTTGAAGACTATCTAAGACATTAATTTTTTAAGTAAATAAGATAAGCAATTACTAATAAAATGGCTGTGCAACAACAGCTGGGTGATTACAACCACCGCAAATGTGCACTTCCTCTTCAGAGAAAAACCCTGAACCAGCTTAACCCCACACTCGGGGCGCTTTCATAAAGTCAGAACTGGCTGGCTGGTCCATGGCTGGACTGGTCATTTTGACAATGAAATAGGCTTTTACCAAGAGTTTTGCTGAAAAACCATCTCCTTCGTGCATGCTATTTAGGATATGTCTGATGAATAGTTTTAATTGAAAGTGAAATTTTCATTAGGACTGGAATGGTCTGGCCGCTAAGTTCTGACAAATAATGCAAAGCGCTCTCAGTGATCTCCCAGGCTGGGTCATAGACAGAGTGAAAAACCAAGTCTCAGTAATGAAGTAGGGTAACTATTAGTAATAAATTCTTCCTGACAGCATGCAAACCACAGGGCACCCAAGCTCTTATTTGTAAACTGCAAATGGAAATTAAATAAGAGATAAAATTCTACCTGTTTTGTTCCACTCTTGAATCTGCTGTGGTGCGAAGTGAAATGGAAGTTGTTTTACGATGCGGAAATGATGCAAAAGCAATGCTTTATGGGGTTGTCTCGCATTTTTCTGTTGGTCTACTCTGACCAGTTTGCCTCACTTGTTGTCTTTTTCTGCCTGAAAAAATAAATAAACCATTTTTATTAACACATAAACTGGTGTTGACGTGCGAGTCATTTCTTCCTAAAGATCTCAACACTCCTTGCAATCCACATAAACACCTTATGAACATGAATAAAGCATAATGACATTTTCTGGATGGAGAAGATCAACCATTTAGATTTACAACGTGGGAACAGTTTGACAATAAATGAGCTTCAAAAATGGTGTTTTGAAATAATGTCAGGACTTAAGTGTGATAATGTTCCATTTAATGGCACAATAGCTTAAAAACTAATGGCTGTCACTCATTTCTTAAACCCACTTATTCTTGGTTTTCACAAGACGTCACCAAAATTCAAACTAAGAAACCATCGCTTCTTCTGAGTTTTTACTTTCATGTGATATTAGAGCACCTTAAACCTTTATACAAACAAATTTTCAGTTCAAAAGGGTTCTTTGTTTTGCGATAAAGGATGCTTGAATTTCCAGGCTTTTGCGTGACGCAGCATTTAGCTGGTGGCTGGGAAAGCTCTTATGTGGGTTAAAAACATTACGGATTTTTGGAGATTTTGCTATCTAAACATTCCTTGCCTTAGAATAAATATTGCTTTAATCTTTATGAGTTCCTCAAGAAAAGAATTCACGCATATATAGGAAAACTCAAAAACAGATGTTTCTGTTGTTTTCTGGTGGCCATATTTGTGCCCCTGAAAGGGACACAAACATGGCGTCTCCATACAAAGCTTTATAAATTTGGGTAAAACGTTTTTCCGAATATCCCAAATGTGAACTATTGCATAGACCTGATTCTTGGCAAGACTTTTTCTATATTTATCTTCATTTATTTCCCAGATTCTAGACTTTCTGTATTAAAAGGTTTCCATTTTCATTTCTGCTTTCTCACGTGAGTGAAAACCGAGAATAGATGTTTGGATATCATGTATAATATCTGCTTTATGTCTAATGGCCAAATCCAAACAATGCTTGTTCTTGAGTAATTCAGGGAGATTAATCTGGCACCAGTATTAATGTATCCAAACAGAACTATAATTGTATTTTTATAAAGGAAGGTTATGCTGGCTTAGATAGCTTTCTCATTTCATAATTTTTTCTACATTTTTTTGACCTTTGTTTTCCTGCTTTTACCCTTTTTAATATCTGTAAATTAGTTTTATATATTTTAGCGGAGGGCCACAAGTTTATCAGTAATGTGACACCCTTGGTAAATAAAGTTATTCATTCATTCATTCATTCATTCATTCATTCTTAAACCATTAGTAGAGAATTAACTGTTGTCTCAAGTATGATAATAAACATTTAAAATACCCTTCAGCAATAAAACACAAGGGCATAGCTAGGATGTTTGTAGAAAAAGGTATGCACAATTTTGCAAATCCCCCTCCACACATCCTTAAAGTACAAATCTTTTTCAGGTTTCTTGATTAAAGGAGAGGTTGCGTTGTAAGCTGAAACATTATTAAACTGTATGTGAAATGACATAACAGAAAGTTGTAAAAATCATAAATTGGTTGTCATTTACTACACCAACAAGCTACTATCTTGTTTAACAAATTGTTTTACACTTAAGCACCCCACATTTGCATAATTGAGCCCTACTTCATCTACTCTATCTCACTATCTTGGTCATGCTTGTCATCCCAGTATTCACAGTCATCACAGTCATCCAAGTCATCCTAGTCATCCCACTCATCCTAGTAATCTAAGTTATCCTTAGTGTCATCCCAGTTGTCCCAGTCATTTTATCCTAGTCATCCCAATCACCCTAGCCATCACAGTCACCCCAGTGATCCCAGTAATAACAGTTATCTTGTCATCCCAGTTATCCCAGTCATTGTAGTCGTTCAATTCATCCTAGTCATGCTAGTCATCCTTGTCATGCCAGTCATTCCAGCCACCACAGTCATCCCAGTTATCTTAGTAAACCCAGACATCTCAATCATCCTAGTCATCACAGTCATCCACGTCATCCCAATAATCATAGTAATCCCTATTACACTAGTCATTGTAGTCATCCCAGACATCCCATTCATCAAAGTCATCTTAGTCATCAAAGTCATCTTAGCCATTTCAGTCAACCAAGTTATATCATTCACCCCAGTCATGCAATTCATCTGAGTCATCCCAGTCATCCTAATCATCTGAGTCATCCTCGTCATCATCATTATCCAAGTGACAACAGTCACCCTAGTCATCCCAGTCCCCCTTGTTGTCCTAGTCATCCCAGTCATCATAGTCCTCCCAGTCATCTTGGCTATTTTAGTCACCTCAGTCATCCTAGTCATCAATGTCATCATAGTCATCCCAGTTATCATTGTCATCTCAGTCACCTTCTGGTAACTAGTCATGGTAGTCATCACTAGTCATTCTAGATATCCCAGTCATCCCAGTCAACCTTGTTAATAAAGTCATCCTAGTCATCCTTGAACCAACTCATCCTGGTACCCAGTACCTATCCTAAACAGTCACCCTATTCATCAAAGTCATCTTAGTTACCTCAGTCACCCTAGCTATCCTTATCATCCAAGTCATCCTCGTCTTTCTTATCGGTATAAAATGTGGACTGCGGACTATGTTGGTAAAAACTGTGCTAATTGGTTCTAGGTAAGTAAAAATGAGATCAAAAGATCACTAAACAGCATAAAACGTGAGCTTAAGTATAACAAGAACGCTCTTAGTAGCGTTGAGTCTCGCTTGCTTGGAGATCAGTTTTAATGTCGTTAATTAATGTCGTTTTAATGGTGCCGTTATACTACTTTTTTGTTTGGAATACAAAACGAGTGTTGTATGTCATAATGTATATACTCAAAAAGTAAAAATTGCAAGGAGAGACAGGCTGCACATCTTAGCCTCAAACCAGCGTGAAACCCTTGAAAACCTTCTACATACTGATATTGTTCCATAGAGGTGTACTATTTCAGGGATTCTACACTCGAAAAAATGAACAATGATTTTTATCGGTATCAGGGGCCCATGACTCTGTCAGTATAAATATACATAGCTTCTTTGTACCGGACCAAGATACGGCTCGGTACAGTATATGTTCAGCACAGGAAAAAAGTGTAAGTTGAACAGAACCTTATACAACACACAGTTAATTCAGTTCGTGCGTATTCCTGCTGAATTTGTTGTCCATTTTATAAGATATCAATATCGCATGAAAGTAATGACATTTTCCATAGCTGCTTAGTATCTACTTTTAATATCTCCGTACAGTCTCAGAGTACAATGTTTAGAGTTGTACACAGCATGCATTTTAGATAGATAGATAGATAGATAGATAGATAGATAGATAGATAGACAGACAGACAGACAGACAGACAGACAGAGACAGACAGACAGACAGACAGACAGACAGACAGACAGACAGACAGACAGACAGACAGACAGACAGACAGACAGACAGATAGATAGAGATAGATAGATAGATAGATAGATAGATAGATAGATAGATAGATAGATAGATAGATAGATAGATAGATAGGTAGGTAGGTAGGTAGATGGGTAGGTAAGAACCTTAGTTTATGGCACGATAAAAAGATCAGCATTGCTGGTGGGGTTGTGCATACAACAATTACAAAAAAAATAAGGAGTACTGAAAGCATATGTACACTTAAAAATTAAAAGCTGTTAAAAGTTTTTTCTTGTATTACAGTATCACCAGCATAAAGCGTTTCATTTTCCCAGAAAATTTCACTTTCTCGTCAAAACAATCACTGACTCAGACAGACGTGGATTAGTTTACTTGAATTTAGTGTTCA